TGGGCGGTGGCGGGTCCTGTTCCAGGCAGTGCCCGTGTATGGCCACCTCATTGGGGCCCTGCCACCCTGCTGGCTGCTGGGGGGTAGGCTCTGTGCTGAAGCGCATGGACGCGGCCCCCAGCGCATTCCCATATCCTGGGCACTGCCTGGAGGGCCCTGTCACCGTGCGTCCCGCAGCCAGCTGGCAGCGCGCTGACATGCAGAGCGAGGGCAGGAGGAGCGGCCGCCCATGCTTGGCTTGTTTCCTTTGGCAGAATTACGAGCACTTATTCAAGGTGAACGACAAGTCGGTGGGGGGCTCGTTTTACCTGCAGTCTAAGGTAAGGAGGGGTTGGGCCGGCCCCATAGGGATGGGGGCTGGCTGGCTCTCTTGGGAGCTGTGGGGCTGGAGGCTTTCAGGCTCTCGCTGCGCTAAGCCCCTGGAGCGGAAGCAGATCTTTTCCGAGATCTTTGCCAGGTGACTGTGTTGCTTGCAGTGTCCTTTGGGTGCCTCTCTGGGCTCTCCTGTCACACGGGCTGGACCCTGGAAGTCCCCAGGAGCAGCATGTTGGAGCCTGAGAGAGGCCACGCTCTTGGGGGTCTGGCACCACATCTGTTTGCCCAGGGTTACGCCCGGGGGCACGTGGACTGAGGGAGCAAGCTGCCCAGGGCTGCAGCGTCTCAAGTTCCTTTGCTGTCGCCCGGCAGGGCCTGGCCTGAACCATTGCGTGTCCAGCTGTAACCTGGTGTCATCTGCCCCCCATGCCAGTCGCCAGGTGCTTTCTGCTGGCACAGCCATGTCCCTGAGCTCTCCCGGCCTGGGTGGGAGGTGTGACTCATCGGACGTCCTGTCTCCAGGTGGTGAGAGCCAAGGAGCGGCTGGTCGAAGAGCTCCGAATCGAGGCCCAGCGACAGAGCGAAAAGGAAGAGGGGCAGAAGCCAGAGACATAGCCACCCCCATGCCCTCTTCTCAGCCCCCTAACTTATAGCCAGCCAATAAATCCCCTTCCTGTAGCTTCCTCTGTGTGGTTTGGACTCAGGAGGCTCGGGGGCAGCGTTGGGGGGCAGCCCAGCCCGGCGCTCTGTGGACACCTGTTGTGCACTGGGACCAACAAACATGAGGTAGAGGGGCAGCTTTCCTTCCTGACCCATTTGCCCTGAAGCATGGCGTTCGCAATGCCTGGTGCCGTATGTAGCCAGCTGGCTCCTCCGGGGAGCCCCCTGCTTTAGCAACACTGTCCGTGTGCCCCTTGCCCCGTGTGGTTTGGGCTGACACTTTCCCGCGCGCCCACCGTGGCAGAGATGTCTCTGCCTGGCTGCTCCCTGGCCAGCCCCACCTGCAGCCTCAGGAGACTGGCTGCTGGGGAAGACTGGATGTACACGGGCGTGAGAGCCGTGCCAGCGGGAGCCCTGCGCTGGGTGTGAGCTGGCCTTTGCATCAAACCCCTGAGCTCTCCCTGGGGGGCGGGGGCAGCCACAGGATCCCAGCTGTTTAGCGGGAGGGAGACTGGGCCCCTGGCTTCACCTGGGCTCTGCAGTGAGGTTCCCAGCCCCTGGAGGCCAGGCCGGATGAGCTGTGGGCCCAGAACATGCCCCCATTTCAAAGAGAGTTTTGCCAAACTGGGGGCAGCAAACGGAGGGTTCTTCCCAAGAGCCCTGCCACAGGCCTGCCCGCAGCACAGGAAATCCACCGGCGTGGGCCCCACAGACAGGATGGCCCGTGTGGCCCCTGGCCCCCCTAAATCAGCTGCCCGAGATGCCTGGCGCGTCTCCTGGGAGGCGGCGCTGTTCCACAAAGCCCTCCAGCCAGGGGAGCTCTGCCAGGCCTGTGCTCCCTCCTCTCCTGGTCAGTGCAGCAGTGCTCCCAGGGCAGGGAGCCCTGCAGCTCCCCAGGGGACAGCAACCCCAGCTGGGAGACCAGTGCCCCGGGGAAACGCCACGGAGGGAATACCCCTGCCACTGCCCACCTGGCCGAGAGCAGTCCGTCCCAGTGGTGTGCACACAGCCCCTAGGCGCTGCCTGGAACGGGCCCTGCTTGGCCCCCCACCCATCCCTGTGGGGCTGGGCCGGG